GGTAATCGACATGTATCTTAAACCTATGTGTGAAAAAGCGAACGATTAGCGTGGGAAGTATAAGTAAATACAGGTGTTGTGAAAGACAGAACGATATACGCACATTCATAGAGGAAGTAGTAACGAGTTACTTACTAATAGGGTACAGTATGCAGGTGAAAACAATAATATCACAACGAAAATCGTAGCAGTAAATATGAATAACATAACGGGGAAAATCGAACATATCAATACATAGTTATTTGTCCTAAGAGAAAATAAAATATAATGAACTGCAATGTGAAAACAACAATAATAAACATTAGATAAAATACAATAACAGAAAAATACCATAGCAATTAAAGTATGGTTAGGGAAGGGGAATGAGGTGGGAGGTGTGGGTGGGTGTCACTTAGGTTTGATCTCAGTGTGTGACTTCGCTTGTTGTGTTGAAAAAACAATGGTTGACAGCGAGAAGTTATGTATTATATAGTTAGTAGTTTGTGTTCGTTGAGTGGCATGTACTTGAACTTGAAAGAAGGCAACTTGTATGTAAGGTGTGGGTGGGTATAGGGAGGGCAATAGTTAATCTGGCACTAATAGGCACACTTACTTTTAATAGTAGCTAGGAAGTATTGGTGGTGCTGAGTAGAATGGCGGCTCCATGGTTGTGCTGACGAAGGTTCGTGAAGACGTGGCGAGGTAGATGAGCCGGATTTGTGGCGGCGTAGAGTGCGGGAACATATCGTCAGCGACTTCGTCAGGAGGGTAGCACAGACGTGAGTAGTCAGCACGAAGTAGTAGGGTAGACATGGTGCGAAGAAGATTTGGTAGGGATGGCTGGACGTTAAAGGAGGCGAGGAGGCACCTCGACAGGAGTAGCTTGTAGGCAGATAGCATGGATCAGCGTCGGCAAGGAGCGTAGTGGTAGGTGAATTACTGTCGGCGTTGTGATGCTCTTGATCACCGCTGCCATCAGATGTAAGCGTAAGGCGTTGTGAGGTTCTTGATCACCGCTGCCATCAGATGTAAGCGTAAGTGACCACGCAAGCCACTAGATGTAAGCGTAACAGAGATGGTCTTGGGGCGGTCAATGAAAGGGGTCTTAACTTGCTGGTTTATTTCTGAAGATAGATATGAGACCCCCAAGAGACCCCCGTGTCCCCGGGTGGAGGACGAGGTGGTGGAGCTGGACCCTGTGTCGCTTGGCCTGTCTGCCGTGTCTCTGTGTCTCCCTGTGTCTTACGCACGTGCCCTTTTATGCGGCGGTTTCCTTGGAGGGCGGGTGTTTATTCCTGTGTGAAAAGAGAAAGGAGGGCAGCACCTGCATCCTGCGCAAGGAGAAAGGCATTTGCTTGGACCGAGGTGTGAATCTGCCATCCGGTCTTGCTACGTATTGTTCACATCGCTCGGCCACGCGTTGTAAGCGTAAGTGACCACCGCTGCCATCAGATATAAGCGTAAGTGACCACCGCTGCCATCAGATGTAAGCGTAAGGCGTTGTGAGGTTCTTGATCACCGCTGCCATCAGATGTAAGCGTAAGTGACCACGCAAGCCACTAGATGTAAGCGTAACAGAGATAGTCTTGGGCGGTAAGCGTACGTGACCACCGCTGCCATCAGATGTAAGCGTAAGTGACCACGCAAGCCACTAGATGTAAGCGTAGCAGAGATGGTCTTGGGGCGGTCAATGAAAGGGGTCTTAACTTGCTGGTTTATTTCTGAAGATAGATATGAGACCCCCAAGAGACCCCCGTGTCCCCGGGTGGAGGACGAGGTGGTGGAGCTGAACCCTTGTGGCTTGACCTGTCTGCCGTGTCTCCTTCTGTCCCCCTGTGTCTTAGGCACGTGCCCTTTTATGCGGCGGTTTCCTTGGAGGGCGGATGTTTATTCCTGTGTGAAAAGAGAAAGGAGGGCAGCACCTGCATCCTGCGCAAGGAGAAAGGCATTTGCTTGGACCGAGGTGTGAATCTGCCATCCGGTCTTGCTACGTATTGTTCACACACACACACACACACACACACACACACACACACACACACACACACATATATACACATATACACAGTATGCATAAATTCCAATATCTAAGTATCTATACATACAACACTTGAGCACGATCTCACGGCGAGGAAACGAGATATTGTAACGATCTAAACCGTCGTTACAGTGCGCAACGAGCCGGGGTTAAGACCTGTCCTTTTTACATTGGATTGGTAGCGTGGGAAAATTTAAGGTCTTATGGGAAAATCCGACTTAATTATTTATAATGAAACGGTTTATTATATTTGGATGTTTGTGAAAGAAAGGCAGACATTGCTTCGAAGGATCGTTAAAATAAAATCCACACAGGATAGAAGAAATATTCCCCTTTATTAAGTAATACCACACAGGTATGCAATACTGCAGAACGTAACTTGGATGAGGGTAAAAAAAAGGGCTGCCGATCCATTCGTCTGCTCTGCCGCCTGTCCTCCGGCTTTCCGAACTGCCTCCTCCGTTCACGGTCGTCCACGTCTCTCGTCTGCTTCCGACCTCTGTTGTCGCCAAGATTCCCCCGACCTTGCCTTGCCTGCCCTGTGCCTGAGGCTGCTACGGAATTCCAGGCGAACGATCTCGGGCGGCAGTTAAGAGAAGAGAAGCCTTGAGAAGTCAAACACAGCTGTCGTAGGGGAAATCGCCGCCGTGGCACAAGTGTCAGTGCGCCGAACCGCGGTTGATTAGGAAGGGTATCCAATCAGGCAATCTGCCAAATAACCTCTCAATAGTGAAATGAGAGAAGCCAATGTCCTGCAGTGGAATGAATGCTTGTTCAAATAATAATAATAATAATAATAATGATAAATAAATAAATAAAAATATATATACAAATATATACATAAATATTGATATAGGTAACTATATGTATATTTATATATATGTGTGTGTGAGCGTATGTGTGCTTTTGTGTGTGTGCGTTTGTGTGTGTGAGTTTGTGTGTGTTTATGTGTGTATGTATACTTATACTGATACACATATATACATACACATACACATGTACACTCTCTTTTTATATATATATACTCATTAGTCTTTGGCATAGCCATCTATCATGGAAGATGATTATTTTAATTCCAATGTCCCCATGCCGTAATTGCTTGGGCAACGACGATATGACGATTGCGGGTGCGGTCTTGGGAGAAGTCTGCCCATGGATGGCCAGAAGTAGTAGTAGTAGAAGTAATGACAGCATATGGCTGAAATCACGCCTTCACGACATTATTCGTGTGGATAGGGCTGTTATCCTGAAAAAAGTAAAATGGCTCTGAATTGAGGAACACCATGGCCCTCACCGATGGTAGAAACACCTCGACCAGTATTTCCACATAGGCATACCCAGTAAGTCTGCCGGGCCCGACATCCCTGCTGCTGTGCATCCACACAAACAGCCCAGCAGTATCTGACAGTCTGCATGCTGCAGTGTAAAGTCCCACTGGATGTTGCCAGCAGGACAAAAGGCGTCTGCATCCCTTGGAGGATTGTAATGAAAGTAAATAACTAAAAAGAAAATTAATCACAACAAGGGGACAGCAACTAACCATCAGCCACACCCCCTTCTTAAACCCAATCAGCTGTAAGAGGTGTTACCACAGTATCAAATGTTTTTCATTAACATGATATCCATACACTTCAATGCAGGCATTCTATTTGTCTTTCATATAGCGCATTGACTTATAGTTCTGATTAATATTTACTTTATCTTCCTCTGTTGTTCATTTAGGGTGCCCACTTCTAGCCCTGTCTCTGGTGGATCCAGTTCTTTGGTGTTGCCGAATCCACAAAGAACGGTTGGCTTCAAAATACCTAATCATGATATTTTGGGTCTTGATAGTCCCTTAGAGTAAAGCATACTTGTGATACTATGAATGGTCTATGATGTTTCCATTGCTATTATTGCCATGATACAAGGCCCTAGCTACAACAACTCCAAAACACTATTCGAACACATTATGAAACTTCATGTACCAACCTTTCAGCATTAACTCCTAACAATCGTTTCGGTTTAATCTACTCCCAAGATACTTATCTGGCGAGTATATTCATAATATTGCATTCCTTTTAAGGCACAGGTGTATGGGTGTAATTGCAGGCTACACACAGAAAGACGAAATATATTTGTATATTTTGCGTGATATAACCATGTTTCTTTTACTTCCAGATATAATCCCTCCAGAGACTGAACTGAATGAGGTAAACACGGAAGGAGCTACAGGCGAAAGAAACCACACAACTAAATCCAGTACAGAAGCAATAGCCTTGGAAAGACAGCTGCTATGTAATTCATCAGAGCAGGATGGTATAGACAGGGCGGAATATAATTCTATCCATGAAAACCACAAATTAGAATCAAGTAGTGATGAACTAGACAACAATGCTGAAGACTCTCCAGAAAAGATAAACAGTGAGAGTGTATTGCCATTCAGTGCATTAGTACAAGATGTTAGCAAGATGGTAGAAAGCAGTGCTACCAATGTAAACCACAAGGTAGTATTAGCATCCTGTCCAGAAAATAATACTAGCAAAAATATATCACATCACAGTCCAAATAAAATAACCAGCGATAGTGCATTGCCATTCAGTCCATCAATTCAAGGTGTTGACCCATTACTTCAAAATGCCATCCATATAAACCACAAAAGAGTGTTAACTGATGGCATAGCAAACAAAGTTGCAATGTCATGTCCAATTAAGAATACTAGCAAAACTGTTTTGCCAATCAGTCCATTAGGAGAAAATGGTGTTGAAGAGACAGAAAATAACGCTATCCATGTATACCATGAAGCAGAAGCAGCTGACTGTAAAACAAGACAAAATGTTCTGCCCTGTCCAGAAAAGAACACTGGCAAGACTATTTTGCCAATTAGTCCATTAGGAGAAGATGGTGCTGAAGAGACAGAAAATAAAGCTATCAATTTAAATAACAAAGAATCAACTGATGGTATAGCAAGCGAAAACGCAAATACTGGCAAGAATGTTTCAAC